GTGGTGCAAAACGAAGTTCCCAAAACTTGCATCTTTCTATACAGCTACACATGGTCACTCTACCCACGTAGACGACGTTCCGGCTTTCACAAACCATTCCCTGCTCACACCAGCAAATTCTCAACATCAGTTCAGAACTGATGACTGCAACAAACGGTCACACTCGCACTGACTGCACACGCTGCAACAAACGATCACACATGCACTGATTGACAGAACCATTCGACTTCCTGAAGAGGCACAGTTTCCGTACAGCACTGATTGCTCCACTCGGCTTCCTGAGGAGCCGTCAACCACACACAGCACTGATTGTATGAACACCAGAACGCATTCCGGAGCTTCACCAAGCTACGGAATCTTTCTCCAAATTCCCAATTCCAACCAAACTGCCCATCGCACAGTTTGTCAGCCTGCAAGGCTTGCATCAAATTCCAAAAACTGAGATCTCACAACTTATACGCCAGCTTCGTGACATTCGTGGTGGCACAATCGCTCAAAATCATTGCCTCCAGCAATGACTTCAATCTCGCTCCAGTCTCCCAATGCTCCAGCACCAAATTTCCAGAGCGCCTCTGGCGGTTCAAGGTGCGCTTCACAGGCACCCTGCCGGTGCCGTCACCCTCCGCCCGGTGGCAGCATTTTCCTTCTGACCTTCGTGGACTCCGGGATCTTCTCTCGTCCACTGCTGCGTCCCCGAGTCTGGGCTCAGACCGGGCTCTGGCCCTGCATGAGCTCCTGCATCTGCATCATCATCGCCTGAAGCTCCATGTTCATCTGCAGCGGTGGAGACCTGGATGCCGTAGACGCTGGTGCTGACTCTTCCTGAGCTGTCTTCTTGACTAAGCTCCATCGAACAAGGTGTCCAGAGGGCCATTCGAGCGCACAACAAACTGTATGATGTCCTCGATGCCAAGTCTGCGGAAGTCGGTCGCTGAACTCTTTTGGAGGTGTTTGCGGGCAAGGCCAGGTTGTCAACACGAGCCCGCCAGCGGAATGCTTGGGAGGTCCAACCACCTCAAGATATCCTGTCCGGCGGTCTGGACCTTTTGGACGGACACATTGAACTTTTCAAGAATGTGATCCGCGCTTGGAAGCCAGAAGTCACGCTGGCCCCCTTCTTGCCAACATCAGCCAAAGAGGGTTTAGCACGCTTGTGGAACCCGGTGGAGGGCAAGCACCAGCAGATCAAACGGTCCACGCTGGCGGATGAATGGCCTGAAGGTTTTTGTGACTAGCTCCTCAACGGCTTGGAGGCCTTGCGAGAAGAGAGTGCCGAAGTCACCCTGAAGATGCATCAGCACAGACCGTCATCACGCATTTGGGAGCGGTACCTGTGGAGGTGGAGGCTGCACCTGAAGACAGTTGAGATAGCAGATGAACATCTTAGATGGGCATCACGGTGCGATTACATCTTGTTCCTGGGCGTCTCCGCCAATTTGACCAAGAAGATCAAGTCGACGCTAGCTCATCTGCATGTGGCGCTTGGCCATGTCTCCAACGAGAAGTCAGCCGGGATGATGTCCCAGAATGGTGCCAAGACCTCAGTCCTCAAGCCATCAAGGACCTCAACTGTCAAGTGTGCAAAAGGGTGACGGCGCCAACACCCACTTCCAAATCAGCCTATGCTCGGCCGATGTCTTGGAACGTGAGATTGTGCTCCGACACCTTCTATGTTTGGGATGCAAAGGCCACCAAGCATGCGGTCACCCACATCATTGACAGCTTCTCTTGTACCAGGTGGCAATTGCCGCAGTGGACGCCACAGTAGACGACAGTCGGGCTGCTCCGGCTCCTGGTTCCGAGCTTTTGGGCCCCCGCAGATCCTGATGATGGATCAGGGGCGGGAATACCAAGGAGCCGTCGAACCGCTTCTCCGAACTTTTGGCGTGTTCCATGATATGGTCCCACCGAGTGCATCATGGAGAATGGGGCTGGCCGAAAGACATAGTGCGGTGTTGAAGGTGATGTTGATGAATGATCAAGGAGCGCACCATCATTGGCCTTGAGGAGATGCAAACAGCAGTGGTAGCTGCGACTGCAGCGAGGAACCTGCAGTCCCAGGTCATGTTCAATGAGCCGCCAGTGAGTCGACGGAGTTTGACTCGGAGGCTGCAGGACAACAGGGTCCAGCCGTGGTGGTGGCGGTGGAGAGACTTGATGGGGCCATCAAGCGTGTATGGATCAGGTATAGGCACAAACTGAGTGGCCTCTAGCTCGAGCACATCAGGTTGGCCACTGGAGATGAAATTGAAGCCACCCAGGTGACGAAGGAGGCCTTACAACAGTTGGCTGACCAGCTGAAACAGGGTCGAGTGAATGCCGAGCTGATCCCAACTCATGAGGAAGTTGAAGCACGAGAAGGAGGAGAACAAGTTCGTGACACACCACCCTCTCGTGCTTCTGCGCCCGATCCTCGTTACCCGGCCATGACCCTGAGTGATGATGAACAAGAACCATCGGATGACGATGTCGGGCCGGAAGAGTTGAAGAAGGCCACCTCCGTGTTGGACGACCTGCCGATGTCAGTGGCAGCCAAAATCAGGAAGAAGGGAGAGCTGGAGGAGCGTCGTTCGACTAAGCGAAGAATGTCCCTGACAGAACTGGAGGAGTCTTCGATTCGGGCGACGGTGGCATCATCATCAGCGGTGGATCCTGCAATGCAGACAGTCAGACAGAAGCGGGACTTCTATGAGACTGCATTCCGCACTACGCAGGAGCACCTCAAAAAGATGAAGACCAAGTTGGAAAAGAAGAGTGCCCTGATGATGGAGCCGGTGGTCCCAGCTGCAGTTGCGGACAGATCCGAGGCATGTGAGAATGGAGAATCAGAAGAGGCTACGGGCAGTGAACCCGTCTACAGCCCATACACATCGGAGGACTCCAACCAGACGATGGCATCGGTCAGCTCGCCCTTCATTGAGGTGGACATGTCTGAAGAGCCCTGGCAGGGTGAAGGTGAGGTGGCCGACTGCTCCGCCAAGATGCCTGAACACGAAGTCCATGTGACTGACATGGCATCAGAATGTCAGCCTTTGGACTACGACCATGATGTCCACCCGGCTGGCTGGCGGGCGGACGGCTTTCGCAGAATTGGGATCCTGAGAAATCCATCTCCCTGTACCAGAGCGAAAGTACCAGCCGATCGATGGAGGCTGCTGGGAGATGTCCCTAGCCGATTGCGTCGTCCACTCACACAGGCCGAGGTCTTGGAAGCTTATCGAAAGGGCCAGTTGAACACCGGACAAACACGCCCGGCAGTAGCACGACCTGGCCTACATGAGGATGATGATCGTGAAGGGATAGCCTCAAATCCATGGGGAGAACGAGACTACTGGCTGCACTCTCCATATCAACGTGAGGTGGCGGGTGCACTTGACTCCCAGGCGGAGGATGTTTGTGCCTGGGGTGGTTCCTGATGAAGACCATCTACAAGATGGGGAGCCACTACCTGATGCCGTACCTGGACTACAAGGTCTACGAGCGACGCAAGTGGGCTATCAGACCCCTCTGGGCACCAAGGAGTATGTCCTGGACAACATCCATTGGAGGAGCTGGAATACCTCCCTGGATATGAACCGGTCGTGGAGGGGGATCACCAGCTTTGTGACGCTGGATCCGGCCACCGACTACCCGGTACTGGCGACCTGGATGCAGGGGAGACAAGCGGTTGAAGAACTATGGAGGACAGCAGCCCGGGCTAACCAGGCCTACAAGTCGGTGATTAAGGAGGTGAATGTCACAGAGTTAGGCCAGGGCATGCCTTTGGAGAGCGAGCAACACGCCCAGATGATGATGAATGTGTTGGGCTATTTTGAGGCTTTCGCGACTACTACGGCCTTGCCTCCGCCTGCCCCTCCGAGCTCGCAGGGAGGTTTGCTCGAGTTGGTGGAGCTGGACAGCAACGCTCTGCAGGACGTTGACAAGCCGGAGACTGGCAAGGTGCGACTTGAGCTGCAGTGGAACCAGTTGTCGCCAGCCTGGCAGGCAGCCTTTGAACAGCCGATCATTGCTGCCCTGGAGATCTATTTTGAGCACGATGCTCTGGAGCCCGTCATGCCGGAGGACCCAGTTCATGAGTCAGAGATTCTGCCGAGCAAGTTCGTGCTTGTCAACAAGAGCGACCCAAAGAATGCTCACCCGGCGGACGCCGATCTGGAAGAGGCCAAGCTCAAGGCTCGCCTGGTCATTGCTGGTCATAGGGATCAGCGTGCTGGTGACTATGCCACTGAAGCTCCCACTGCCACTCTCCTGGCACACAATTTTATTTGCTTTGTGGCCGCCCAGTACCAGTCGAAATTGTACTTTGCTGACATTTCCGCAGCATTCCTCCAGGGCGATTATCTTCCAGAGGGGCGGCGAGTGTTTTTGAAATCGCCCACCAACTACCCGCTCTTTGTCCGCAAGTACCTGATGTCCAAGGTACCTCCTGGCGCCCGGACGGACCTCTTCCGGATGAAGAAGGCGGGCTTTGGTCTTGCAGAGTCGCCGCGCCTATGGTATCAGCGCTTCAAGCGGGACATCATCATTGCCATTGGAGGTAGGGAGTTGCAGCTGGCCCCAGGTGTCTTTTCGTTCTTCAACACCGAGGTCAAACTGTGGGCGATGCTGGCGGTGCATGTTGATGATGTGAGGTTCATCTGCAGCCCAGTGGCCCAAGTTGAAGGGCTTGTTCACGTTTGGTGATTGGGCGCACCCCGACGAGGAGTTCACCAAGTTTTGTGGTCGATGGGAGCGACAGCTGCCTGATGGGACGGTAGAACTGCAGATGAACGAGTACGCCAAGAAGGTGAAGGAACCTCCCTCGAGATCAGCTTTTCGGGCGATGGCTCCGCTGATGCCGAATGAGAAGTCATGGATTGGTGCCATCATCGGACAGTTGAACTGGCTGGCACGTCAGACCCGAGCTGATCTGCTGTACGGCTGTTCGAGGATCCAACAGCTTGCGGGCACCAATGACCCGGCGGCTTTGCAGGAGCTGAAGGTGCTGGTGGAGCGAGCCAAGGAGCCTCACACCCAAGTGTTCAAGAAGCTTGGCTGTGGTATGGACAAGATGATCGTCCTTGGTGTCTCCGACGCCTCGTTTGCCGGCATGCCCCGAGGCCGATCGCAAGGAGGATCAGTGCTGATGTTGGCAAATCCTCTGGTGCTGGAAGGAGAAGCACCGGTTTGCGTGACCGCCTGCCATTCAGGAGTCCTCAAGAGGGTGGTCCGATCTTCGCTTGCGGCCGAGATCTCCCAGGCCGCGACGACCATGGAGGAGGCGGACTACATGAGGGCTTTCATGGCGGAGGCCTTGGATGGAGCGTTTACGCTCCGCGGCTGGCTTGCGGCTGTAGCCAAATGGCGGCAGATGTCAGTGCTGGACTCGCGCACTGGCTATGACCTCCTCAATGGGTCAGCATTGGGAGAGGACAAGCGCCTTGCCATTGACGTGGCGGCGATGCGCCAAGCACTCCAAGAAGATGGAGCCTCACGGTTGGTCAGATGGGTGCCCGGTGAAGAGATCATTGCGGATGACCTCACCAAGCTTGCTGGAAATGGCCGACTGATGAGAGTGATGTCCTTAGGCAGTTGGGCCCTGAAGGACACGGAGTCCGCGAAGAAACTTCGCGCTGATGCTGCCGCTCGTAAGCGAGCTTTTAGGCAGCGGAAAGCATCAGCTCCAAAGGGGGCTGGTGTGGTTTGACACGCAGCCCGTCGCGGCCCTGAGAGTCTACCGCCTCACTCTCTTCACACTTGCAGGCAACGCTATTCAGGTCGCAGCTCCAGTTGGTATCCACCATAATTGGCAGATGTTGGAGGACTTCCTCGTGGAACGACTGCCTGCAGTGAGCCAGTTGGACACCGAGGTAGACCTCTTGTGCCCACAAACTCAGGAAGCCCTTACGGACCCAATCCAGGACGCTCTTCGGAATACTCGCACTTCCACCTAGTAGTGAGACAAAGCTTCCAAGTCTACGACCACAAGCGCCAAATCCAAGGGGAAGACTATCTGGACTACCCCAAAGCCCAAAGCTGTGTGGGTCTCAGCCAACCCTGCAGGGTTGTCCCAAGCAATGCTTTCTCATCAGTGCCGCGCCTCCGGCACGTTTGGGCAGAGCCTACGTTGCGCACCATAGAACGGGAAGCGTGGCGAAACTGCTACCAGCTGCAAATCGTCAAGCTACCGAGCACTGTGGTGTCCATACAACACTCTGCATTCCAAGGATGTTTCGCCTTGGTCACAGTAGTGGTACCAGGATGTGTTGACTTTGGAGTTCGCACCTTTGCTGACTGCTGCGCCCTGGAACGAGTTGTCGCCACGGAGAATGGCGCCAACGTACTGGCGGCCGGGGCGGCTCTGGCACCATGCGCAAACCTCTCCCAAATCAGCCTGTCGTACACCCAGACAGGCCCGACGGGCCCGCCCATGCCACCCCCATATGTAGGGATCCCACAAGGGCGTCCGGAGTCACAAGTGTAACCCTCTCAGCTGATGCCAACTATGTTGGGCATAGAGCTTGCTGGTAAAGGTGGACCTATCCCTTGCGACACTGAAAATCCTCAACATGCACACTTTTTCGCGTTGTGTGACCATGGCCACTAGAAGTCCCTCGCAAGCCAGCATGCCGGTTGGCGCCGAAGAAGCTACCACCTACCAGCATTGCACGCCTCACCCAGCAACCACCTGCAAACCTCTCGGAAACACGAAAGCTTGTCGACTTGCGCTTGCCCTTCTGTGCTTCCTCTTGGAAAAGCTTTTTGGGAAGCACCGTCTCAAAGCTGCTGTGCAGACTGGCCCTCCTCCCCCGCCGGGGGCGAGTGGCGCCAGGCAGAAAGCTTTCGCCTTACTAAGGCTGTTTGTTGCACAATCATTGAACAATCAACATTTCGCGAGTCACCCTCAACGCGTGACACTACTGTCCCTTCATCCGATTGCTTGGAGCAATAGGATACTACCGCAGTGGTTTTCAGTTGCGTGCCTCCACTTCGCACATGCTTACAGTGACTCAGCAGCGTGGTCACGCAAGCCTCTCGCCAGCCTCGCCAGCCTCAACAAAAAGCAAACCGTATGTACAGCTCTACTGCTTTGATTAAGGCCAGGCGCCTAGCGCTATGTCAAAAGCGCTACAGCGCCATAACATTCTGCAACGCTGGCTTTCGACGTTGGATTGTCCTGAAGTACTGAGAGGCCTTTTGCTAATTCGTTGCCCCATGTTTCACTCTTCTTCTCTCGTCTCACTTTCGCATGACCTACTTGAGTTGCATGCTGCCAGGAAGTCTGCCCCTTTCTGTTGTTTGGTTTTGGGTTGCGTGTTGGGTTTTGTTTTGTGTTGTTTGGGTGGTTGGTTGTTTTCTGTTCGGTTGTCTGTTTCTTTCTTCCTGGCCTGTAACTCAAGTATACGTAGCGCAAGATGACCTGTGCAATTTCTGCACACATGGCGTCTCCACCCGTGCAAAATGCGCAATGTACCTGAGCATGGCAGGAAAGTCGACGCTCTCGAGGGCGAGACAACCCGCGGAGGCTTCCGCATGAATTTCCTGAAGGGTGTCCGGGAGGCAAATGCGCGTGAGGACCTCACAACGTGAGAACCGCGTCCTGGCAATGGATTCCTGTTGGGAGAGAGCTCCGAACCAGCGACCACTTGGTGACCGATTCGGGTTGGTTTGCTTCCTTTTTTTTGGCGGCGACCGCTTCGGGGTTGGTGAGGGGGAAGTCCGAAATAGCGACCAGTCGGTGACCGATTCGGGTTGGTTTGGTTCGGTTTTTGCCCTGCGGGTTTCTTGCTTCCGCCTGCCGCGACATCTGAATCTGCCCTTCGAGGTTCACAAAGTGCTGTGCCTCCAAGATCCACACAGTGCTGTGCCTGCCACGACATAGCGCCGACTCCTGGCTACCGATTCCTGTTGGGGAGAGCATTCCAAATCAGCGACCACTTGGTGATCGATTCGGGTTGGTTTGGTTCGGGCTTGTTTGCTTGCTTGCTTGCTTGCTTGCTTGCTTGCGTGCGGCGACCGCTTATTCGGGTGGCGAGGGAACTCCGAATCAGCGACCAGTCGGTGACCGATTCGGTTTTTTTTTGGTTCGGATTTTGGCCTGCGGAGATCTTTCTTCCGGCCGCATCCGAATCAGCAACCCGTTGGTGACCGATTCGGATGATTTCCAGTGTTGTGTGTTTTGGAGCGGGTCTTTGGAAAGTTTAGTCAGTTTCCCAAAAGTGATGCTTTCACAGGTTTTGCGAGGTCCGCATTTTACCGTACGTAGCTGAGACCCTCTACCGAACGCGGCCTGAACCCATCTAAATCAGGCCCGAAACATTGTTGCAGAATCAGCGATTTGTTGTGAGCCACTCAGCCACTCAGGCATTTCTTCCTGTCTGAGCCACTCAGACTTTCTTCCTGTCAGCCACTCAGCCACTCAGACCTTCTTCCTGTCAGCCACTTAAGCTTTCTTTCTGTCAGCCACTCAGCCACTCAGACTTTCTTCCTGTCAGCCACTCAGCCACTCAGCCACTTAGACTTTTTCTGTCAGCCACTCAGCCACTCAGATCTTTCCGTCAGCCACTCAGCCACTCAGACCTCCTTCCTCTCAGCCACTCAGCCACTCAGGATCTTGAGTGGCTGAGTGGCTGAGTGGCCGGTCAGAATGCAAGATCGGCGTTTGCGACTGGTTCCCCCGTTCTCCCCACGTTCCAGGAAGAGGCGTGCTTGTTCCTGCGCGGGTTGCAACAGGCTAGATGCCCCGCCACCACCTTCTGGTACTCCAACTTGTCCCCCAACATGGTGTCCAGGTAGGAGAGGAAGTAGTGACCCAGTAGTTAAAGGAGGTACCACCGGCATGAAGCTCATAGGGTCATTCTCCAGGATGTAGTTCGTCATGACTCCCATCGACATCCAGCATGGTTCCAATCCATGACTTCACCTGCCATCGGGTGGCTCCAATCCACCTCGAACTGGTGGTTCCCATCCACCTCCAGTAGTCACCAAGGGACTCTGTCAGGCCGTTGGTCATCATGAAGTGCAAATCTGGCCATCGTGACAGCTGAGGGTACCCATCCCTCTCATAATCCTTCTTCTCGTAGGCCTCCGCGTTCTCGTCCATGTAGTCCGTGAAGTTCACGTGCTCCTGGTCGTAGAGGAAGTCGTCGATCTGGCAGCCGGTGCTCATCGTCGTCGAAAAGAGGAAGGTGACCACCATGAAGGTCCACCATCGCGCACCCGGCCGCCCCGCGGGAGCCAGCACTTTGGCTGGCTCCGCTACCACGAAAGAAAACATGAAAGCGAAAGTTGCGCCCGTTTTCCTGCGAAGTTCGGGTCACTGCAACGGGCGGTTCAAGTCCTGAAAGTTCCTAACAGTTAGAAAACAACTCACACCACACAGAAGCGGCTCGCACAAAACAAACTTTCCCACACAGCCAAACCCTGCGCAGAACTTGCGTAGTCGGAGATAACAAAATTTGTTGCCTCAAAATGGAACATTGGTGGTTGCACCATGACATCAACATTGATGTTTGGATACGTCCTATCCCGGCAAAGCTTGGTTTCTTTGCAAACGTGTCGAATGACACACAGTCTGGCCCGGGGTTCGGGGACAAACAACCCGAATACTCCTGCAGGGGGGTCCCAGGAGTGTCCAAGATTGAATGTGGAGAATCTGGAGATTGGGGTGGTTCAAAACACTGCTGGAATTCGACCAGGTTGGACAACGGCATACAAGAGATCACCATCGACCACGGCACCGACAAAATCAAACGGTTTCTGAAGAACAGCAGTAAGGCCGAAACCAATTGCCAAAGGCCGGTTGGAAAGGTGTTCGGCAACCTCAAACTGTGCATGTTTGTTTGATCTGGATGTGCAATCCGGGTCGCGGTTCACGGCGGCCATGATGGAGAGGCTTGAAG